GCAGTATTAATATCTCCGGAAGGCAAGTTCATACCCTTCACCGCCAGGTTGTGCTTTGATTGTACAAACAATATGGCGGAATATGAAGCATGTGCATTGGGTCTGGAAGCAGCACTAGAAACAAAAATCAAATCTTTGGAAGTGTTCGGGGATTCAGCTCTAGTGGTTCACCAGATTAAGGGAGAATGGGAGACTAGAGATAACAAGCTGATACCCTACAGAGACTATATCCAACAACTGGTTGAGCAGTTTGAGCAGATAGATTTCTACCACATCCCGAGGGAAGATAATAAGTTGGCAGATGCTTTGGCCACTTTGTCATCCATGTTCCAAATAGAGGGAGATAGTGTACCGGTTATCCGGATAGCTAGTAAAGATCAGCCAGCATACTGTTGTGTAATAGAATCAGAGTCAGATGGAAATCCCTGGTATCATGACATAATGACATACTTAAAAAGCAAGGAGTATCCTCCCGGAGCAACAGATAATGACAAGAGAACTCTGCGGAGATTAGCTATGGGTTTCTTTCTCAGTGAGAATATCCTATACAAAAAGAACCACGACATGGTATTGTTGAAGTGTGTAGACGCCAAAGAGGCAGAGCAGATCATTGAGGAAATACATGAGGGTATGTTTGGGACTCATGCTAATGGGCGTGCGAAGGCTCGAAAAATCCTAAGAGCGGGTTATTTTTGGTTAACGATGGAGGGGGATTGTTGGGATCACGTCCGTAAATGCCACAAGTGCCAGATATATGCCGACAACATCAATGCACCCCCCAACCTGCTCAATGTATTATCAGCACCGTGGCCTTTTTCAATGTGGGGAATGGATGTTATTGGGCCCATTGAACCCAAAGCTTCTAATGGACATCGATTCATCCTTGTTGCTATCGATTATTTCACCAAATGGGTTGAGGCAAATTCGTATGCAAGTGTGACTCGCAAGGTAGTGCTCCGGTTTGTGAAGAAGGAATTGATCTGTTGTTATGAGTTACCCTAGAAAATCATCACAGACAATGCCACCAACCTCAATAACAAAATGATGACGGAGATGTGTGAAGAGTTCAAGATCAAGCATCACACTTCTTCACCATATAGGCCCAAGATGAATGGAGCGGTGGAAGCAGCCAATAAAAATATAAAAAAGATAGTCCAGAAAATGGTGGTGACCTATAGAGATTGGCACGAGATGTTGCCATTCGCACTGCATGGGTATCGAACTTCGATCCGCACATCAACTGGGGCAACACCCTACTCATTGGTCTATGGGATGGAAGCAGTTCTACCGATAGAGGTCGAGATTCCCTCATTGAGGGTACTGGCTGAAGCCGAGCTAGAAGAAGCTGAATGGGTCCAAGCTCGACATGACCAGTTGAATTTAATCGAAGGGAAAAGGTTGGCGGCTATATGTCACGGCCAACTATACCAAAGGAGGATTATGAGGGCTCATGCCAAAAAAGTACGTCCTCGAGAGTTCAAGGAAGGGGACTTGGTGCTTAAGAAGATATTGCCAATACAGAAAGATCACCGAGGGAAATGGACTCCTAACTATGAAGGCCCGTATGTGGTAAAAAAGGCTTTCTCAGGTGGTGCTCTCATACTAACCAACATGGATGGTGAAGACCTTCGTCTTTCAGTAAATTCTGATGCAGTGAAGAAATACTATGCATAAGGCGGCTTCCTATAAAAAAAATAAAAAATAAAAAAAACATTTTCCTTAGAAATTTCGACGTAATGATCATAATCACCATTTTTTCATGCATGTTTTAAAATCAAAATGGAGAATGATGTAGGAAAATTCCCACAAAGTGTGAACCCCCAAATGACTATTTCCAATGATATAAGGCTTCTTTGTAATCCCCAAACACAATGGAAGATATCCCTAGTTACCCCTTTTCGAGCCCAGACGTCAGGAAAGGAGATCCATTCTAAATGAACCCGTAAAAATATCTGTAATCAGGGAAGGGTAGCTTTCCAATATTCCTCAAAAAGCTCAAAATGTAGCTACAGACTAAAAGAGTGAGAGCCTAGGAGTTCCATGAACGAAAGAAAGTCCCAAAGAAAAATTCCGCTAAGGCTCATGATGTGCCTTAGGCAAAAGTTAGGACGAAGACATATCAGACTCTCACTCACAATGAAAAAAAAAAAGCAAAACAGTAAAAGTCAAAGAGAGGAATAATTGGATGTAGGATATTGGAGAAAAGGAGATGAAGGGGGAAGGGAAACACATTTTGAGCCTTTATACCTATTTTATTGAAAAAACTATTCCGCCAGGCCACAATTCAAGCCAGAAAAGTCCTTGTTGAGGAATAGGTCGTTTGGGATCACACTAGGGTAAAAAAGCAAACTGACTCCGAAAAACACAAATTTCTAAATGCATTCTTACTATCAAACCAACACTAAGTGATCATTACATCGAAGTTCCTAACGAATAATGAAAAAAAAATGAAGAAAATATGACCCGTTAGGTCGAAAACCCGGAAGGGCGGCCTAAGCAAAAGTTAGGGAATATAAAGAAGGAAGTCACCCCAATCAGAAAAGGCGATGCATATGCATCACTAGAGATATGGGTTTTCAAAACAGGATATTGGGGCAGAAATTATTGGATGAAACACTCTCCTCCAATAAATTCTTAACAATGATCTTAAAATCTTTTGAGCATAAGGCCAGAGCTTCAACGTGGGCGAGCAAGATACTGGGGCAGTTTATTGGACGGTTATTCTTTAAACTCTTGGGCCGAAAACTCAGTGGCGTCATCAATCAGTAGTAACTTTGGAGAAATACTAGGGCAAAGTTTTTGTAGGAATCAGAAATTCGGTTGAAAATCAACGAATGAAAATTAATGTTGTCATTCTTGTATAGATAATTGAAAGAGATGTCATATACACTTTCCCGAAATTTTTCCACTCCTCCATCATACCTTATTCCCTCCATGCATGACTATGTTTATGTAAATTATACTGATGAACAATAAAACAACCTTTTATGATAGTCGACTAAAAAACAAAGTAATGGCACACGCTAGCGACTTAGAGATCCTCGCCCGGAGTTGCAGCTATTCATTCCAAAATGTAAAGGTGTCTTAAACCAGATGCAATGATTGCGACACTTAATAAAGCGAGAAAGTAAAGTTTTGTAAAATGAATCTCATAAGAGAATACCAAATTGACACACATCCCATACACATAGTCCAACAGTTTAGTTCATTCATAACATGCATTCATTCATAACATATATTCATAGAAAAAAAACAAACAAACTATAGACCTTAATGGGTAAAAGGGTAGACCAGTTAGAATCAACCGTCGTGATCCCTTAGCCTGATGTCGGCTAATTAGGTTGTATTTTCATATTGTATCGAGCCACTGAGAGCTCGCAATTTATTTTTATGTCTCGAGCCACTGAGAGCTCGCAATTTATTTTTTCTGTCTCGAGCCACTGAGAGCTCGCAATTTATTTTTATGTCTCGAGTCACTGAGAGCTCGCAATTTATTTTTTCTGTCTCGAGCCACTGAGAGCTCGCAATTTATTTTTATGTCTCGAGCCACTGAGAGCTCGCAATTTATTTTTTCTGTCTCGAGCCACTGAGAGCTCGCAATTTATTTTTATGTCTCGAGCCACTGAGAGCTCGCAATTTATTTTTTCTGTCTCGAGCCACTGAGAGCTCGCAATTTATTTTTATGTCTCGATCCACTGAGAGCTCACAATTTATTTTTATGTCTCGAGCCACTGAGAGCTCGCAATTTATTTTCTGTCTCGAGCCACCGAGAGCTCGCAAATTTATTTTTTCTGTTTCGAGCCTCTGGGAGCTCGCAAATTTATTTTATCGTCTGGAGCCCCAAGGTGCTCACGTGGTCATCGTCTAGGCCTTGACAAAATTCATGTTCATTTCTTTACTAGTTACTTACTATAACAACATACAAACTTCAGTTTGTTTGCTATCAAGTAAACAACAAGTAAAGAGGGGCAGCTGTGAACACTCAATTTTGTCCGGCCTATTCTATGGAATAAAAAATGTAGTTGGACCATTAATCTTAAACTTCCTAGTTAATAATTCTAATAATTTCTCATAAATTGTGGCCATATCTTAGACAAGGTGTAATTTTTGATACAGTAACATGTAAATTTAGGAATCTAACCATGCATATATAGTTGGATTATCTGAACTTAGCTTGATAATCTTGCAGTATATCAGATTTTATGGCAAATAATCATAAAATTCAATAATGAGATACTTCCTATTTTTGCCCAAGTTGTTTTCATGGTATTGTGGTGGGGCTAATGGTACTCCAAAATGCTCATTTACATTTCTTATTCAAGCTTATCCCGAAATTCTTTTGGGGTAAGTGGTTGAGCCATTTCTTTTTCATTCATCCGTGTCCAAAGCACTATCATAAACAGTACAAACTATAATATATAGAACCAATTCCCTTTACTAAATATCATATCTTAAGAACTTTAGTGTTTAATTTCTTAGAACAGAAACATAAACTATGGCTGGAATGCTTCCTGGAGTTGAATCTGCTAGAAGAAGAAAGTTTCCATAATAGTGGATTATGTTTAGATTCACCTTCTTTGTCTCCACATAATTCTTCAAGACGCTCTTCTTTTTGTTTATATGCAAAAAACTATGATTCACTTCTTCCTTCATTTTCTTCATTGCAAAGAAGGATGTTTAACCAGACACACCCAGATGAAAATATAGTAGGAGCAGCCAAAGAAGCTAAACAAAGATTGGATGAAAAGTTCAAACAACAAAGGAAATTAGAAAACAAAAGGTTGATATTGGTAAAAGGTGAAGATGGCTTGTAAGATGGGGAAACAGGTTTTCTTCCTATGGTGGGTCTTCTTCTTGCTCGGTGTGTCTCCTAAGAAGACCTCATTTAGTTTAACCAGCTCCAGCAACTCCAAGATGAAAGCAGCCCAGATTTTGTGGTTGAAGTGTTAACTCTCTTCTTTGAAGATGCCGATAGGCTCCTCAATGAAATGACAATAGCATCAAGTCATGAAGGCATTGCTTTTAAGACATTGGATGCTCATGTCCACCATTTGAAAAGAGCAGCTCCTGCAGAGAAGAATCAAAGATCAAATATTCTTTACACATTAGGAGAATTATGAAATGAGCAATTAGCCAAGGACTACACGTGAAGGTTGCACCTCAAAACACAATCAGCATCAATGATGTTAGTTATGAGCATGCTACAAATCAGAATAGTCAAAAGATATTAAGAAATCAATGAATGTTGAGCAGAGGACTAGTCATGGGAAATTTATCAAGGGACAGTTAGCAGGCAGCAATCAGAGACACTGGCTTTCAGTTACAATTAGAATCATTAAGCAGCAATGATGGATAATCTTGAATGAATCAGAAACAACAAGCATTAAGAAGAAGAATATACAGGCAGTCACATAAAAGAATAACCAAGGACACCAGTTACATATAAAGAAAAAACTACTTATGAATCAGAATAATCAACACCATACGGTTACATTCCAGAAGGCAATCAACACCATTAAAAAAAGGCAAAAGGAAATGAGGTAGATTAGCCATGGGGTTGCACAAATTTCAGGGATACTAACCAGCTCTACAATCAACAATGATCAGCATTTGCAGTTACAAAAGCAAACAAAGGCAGAGCAATGAGGCAGTAATGTACAAATAAATGGGTAACAGTCAGAAATTAATGGCATAGTAATCAGCAACCCTCTTTTCAGTTATACATTCAGCATGAATTACAATCATGGATAGCCTTAAATAAAAGAGAGTAACCAGCAGTAACTGGTAGAGTCAGCAGAAGAGTCATAATATTCTATAAAAGAGCATCAGAATCATATACCAGGGACAAGTTTTTTCAGCAATCAGAAGGCATCCAATTTCATATACACGTATCCCCTAAGGTTACAATCTGCCCCTTATAGCAAATCACTCACACGAAAATACCATATACACTACACTAGCTCACATCATGCATCGTCAAGTAGGATCAACGCAAAATCAAGAAAGGGTTCTAACGTACAAGGTAGAAAGTAAAGGGCATACTCAGGTAAGATATGTGACATATTCAGTGAACATCAATGAAAACGTATCCCAAAAGCAAAATAATCATGCATATCCATTCATGTTAATTACCAGTAATCGATGTTGGGTATACTCTAACGGGTTTCGTAGGAAAATATATATTGTTATGCGATTTAAAATAAGAAATAACCCATAAATTGAAATGACTCAGATTGTATGCTTGTATTCTGATTTAGCATTCATAAAATAGTCATGAGCATTTTTGGGGGAATCATAAATCCTTTAAAGGAAAAAGAAACGAAAAATGGAAGAAATGGAGTCACCTGGTTTCAAGGACCCTCGCCATTGCCGCTGTTACCGTTGACGGAGAAGATAATCGGAGAAGGAGACCGGAGAACCAAGTCGCCTTCGTATTCCCGCCGCGACGAACCGCCTTCGTCTTCTCATCGCGATGAACCGTCCTCACTTTCTCACCGCGGTGAATCGCCTACGAGTTCACCAACCTCCACGCTTGACTACCGCCTCCGCCACTGTCGGAGAGAATCCCGAGAGAACTCACGACTCACTCCTCCTTCGTCTTCGCATTTCCTTCGTCTTTGCATTTCCTTCGTCTTCTCACTGCCTTCGTCTTCTCACTTCCCTCGTCTTCTCCCTCTCTTTTTTCCCCAAATCCTCCATCACAAAAATAAAGAGGAAACAGATTACCTTGCGATTTGCTGCCAAGAGGAGCTTCGAAAACGGACGTGGATCCGAAACAGACCCATCGGAGATGAAGACCGGAGTAATCCCCGCCGAGAGAACTCACGACCTTACCCCTTACCAGTCACCGCAAACCGCCTCCGCCACTGTCGGAGGAAAACGGAAGAGGAATCGCGATTTGCTCCACGGCTTCGTCTTCTCACCTTCGTCTTCTCACCTTCGTCTCCTCTTTTCTCTCTTCTTCTCACTTCCCTCCTCTCAACTTCACCCAACACCCCAAAACTAACCAAATGAAGAAAAAAACAAAAAACCCCTCTTCCCCAATTCCATTTCATGGAAGTGGACTTCGGCCCATCCTCCCTTTTCTTTTTACATTTCTTTATTTTTCTTATTCTATTTATGATCTTGGTATTTTGTTTAGGTATTAGTTTATGATTAATTAACAATAAGCGGTATTAGAATGTCATCCCCTTTTTATGTTTCTACCTAAATTAATCCTTTTAAAATTGCAATCGTTGATTGTTTGAACGAATTTATAGTTTTTATCAATAATACATTTTAAACTATTTCAAATCTCTTTAAGATATGATGCGGCGCGGGCATTAGTCTTGCTACTTCATCTATCTTAAAGGTGAATAATTTTAATAACATATTTTTAAACTATTTCAAATCTCTTTAAGATATGATGCGGCGCGGGCATTAGTCTTGCTACTTCATCTATCTTAAAGGTGAATAATTTTAATAACATATTTTTAAACTATTTCAAATCTCTTTAAGATATGATGCGGCGCGGGCATTAGTCTTGCTACTTCATCTATCTTAAAGGTGAATAATTTTAATAACATATTTTTAAACTATTTCAAATCTCTTTAAGATATGATGCGGCGCGGGCATTAGTCTTGCTACTTCATCTATCTTAAAGGTGAATAATTTTAATAACATATTTTTAAACTATTTCAAATCTCTTTAAGATATGATGCGGCGCGGACATTAGTCTTGCTACTTCATCTATCTTAAAGGTGAATAATTTTAATAACATATTTTTAAACTATTTCAAATCTCTTTAAGATATGATGCGGCGCGGGCATTAGTCTTGCTACTTCATCTATCTTAAAGGTGAATAAATTTCAATAACATATTTTTAACTATTTCAAACATTCTTTGAGATATGATGCGGCGCGGGCATTAGTCTTGCTACTTCATCTATCTTAAAGGTGAATAAATTTTAATAACATATTTTTGAACTATTTCAAATCTCTTTAAGATATGATGCGGCGTGGGCATTAGTCTTGCTACTTCATCTATTTTAAAGGTGAATAAATTTCAATAATATATTTTAAAACTATTTCAAATCTCTTTAAGATATGATGCGGCGCGGGCATTAGTCTTGCTACTTCATCTATCTTAAAAATAAATAATTCCAAACAATGCATCTCAATTATTTCAAAAAATAATATATATCTTAAAGATAAATAAATCTTAACATAGTAGTTTAATTAATTTCAAAATCTCTTTAAAATTTGATTAAAGACCGAATTATCCTAATTAGGCATGTTTAGAGTTTTCTACGTTTTAACCGCAAAAAACGTAGTGGCGACTCCAAAATAATTGGAAGAGGTAGAAATCGAGTTCGCCTCTCCCAAAGTCGCAAGGCCGGTCTTCCAGCCGAAAATCGGGTCGCGACAGCTTGAATGCAAGGGTGTGACACAGGCATTGGTTAGCATTACGCAAGGTGTGTGCTATGGGTATACTCCTTATGATGGAGTATGATAGTTCTTTTGAACTATGATTGTCGGGCTAAACAATGGTGGTAGCGGTTGAGGCTTTCCAATGAAGCTCCAAGGTTCGGCTTGACTGAGTATTGAAGAGGACAGTTGTTGGTGAACTTTTGTGTATTGAGGTTCTATATATCGAAAGACTTCCTAACAATAGGTGGCTAGGCGGCGTGTTCCATTATGACCAACGCTGCGCAACGATCGCTTCTGCTGCACCAACAATACGCTCAGTGGATTCATGGGCTCGGGAGAGGGTGAGGTCGTATGTTAGGACTGAGGTGTTACAGTAAACCAAAGCCAAACTCCAAATTTATAAGATGTTGTTTGTCATCATCAAAAGGGGAAGATTGTGAAGAAGAATCTCTCATTGACTTTGGCTAGTTTTTGATGAAGACACCAACATAAATAAAGAAAAAATATTTTGAAGTTAAAAGAGATAAAAACCACTAATAAATATTATAAAAATGACTTTCAAAAAACCATGTAATAGATTATCAGAAACTGTGTAACAAGTTACTTGAAACTATGTAATAGGTTTTTAGAAATCGTGCAACAAGTTATCACAAAGCCTGTAGCTAATTATCACAATGCTATAACCTTATTCATCCCTAGGAATACGATTTTTGAATTTGAAACTCAACTAATATGTATTCAAACATACATGTATGCTCCGAAATGATGCATACCTTCTCATTTAGACCTTTTAACCCTTATATACTTTTATATACTATACCAAATTTTGCATTTTATAAATGTTTTGTGTGAAGGTTATTTAAATATCTCCAAATAAATCAAATAATGTGGACTGAACAATTAACTAGATATATAGTGGAGGTTTTTATTTAATTTATTGAGGTGTTCAACCTCCACTAAACTCTTCTCTTCTCTATTATACTTTATTCTCCTTTATTTAATAACTAATAAGGGAAGGGTCTCTCCCTCTCCCTTCATCACTTCACCACATCACTTGACATCTCAAAATTTCTCCTTCACTATGAATTTTGTAGCTTCTTCCATCCTTCCAACCTATAATTTCTTCGATCACCGCTCATCAAACCTTCTTCCATCACATGCATTTGTAGCTTCTTCCCAGGTATATTAACATACTTTTTTAAGTTCATAATTTTGTTTCAAATTTTACGAAATTGGGTTCTCTAAATCCCAATTCCTAAATTACTGTAATCCAAAGCAAATAAAATTTCAACTCTTTAATATTTGATTCTGAGTGAGTGAGAAAGGGAGCGACGTGAACATTCTTGGATAAGATTCCAGATTCTGAAATCATCACGAACCACGATTCATCTGAAAGTGTGCATGTCAAGAGGAACACTTTGGAAAGCTCTCCTTATATGTCTTGGTTTTGATGAGGACAACTTGTGCTAATAAGAGCTTGAAGATCATCAACAAATCAACATGCTTAAGCCTTCTGATTGGTACCTTGCTTAGACTAGACTAGTTTAGGTTGAGTCCAAGGCTTAAGTCACCTAATACATATCTCAATTGCATAAATCTTTTAAATCTTTTTCATCTTGGGATATGTCATTCATAATATGTTCATGCATCATACAAATACATGTACATGTGCATTCTAGGCATAATCTAAGTTTTAAACATGTATGAATTTAAGTGCATAACATATTTGAATTGTTTTTACACATGAAAGAATGCTGTTAATCGATTACCGCATAGGTTAATCGATTAATCTAACTGTTTGCACAGTGTAATCGATTACAACAAAGGTTAATCGATTAATCTAACATTTTTGTGAAGCTTAATCGATTAAAGCTGTCGTTAATCGATTAACTGAGCATTAAAATCAATTCTTTATAAACTGCATTTTCAGAATTGATCTCATAAGTTGCATGCTAAATTTTTTAGAGAGTTAGAGCATTTTTTTTCGTGTTAATTGTTGCATCTAGTTGTAAATGCATTTGTGAGCTTAGAAAAGAGAGAATTCTATGCTTTAGGATTGAGTGCTTTTCATGATACATTTCTCATCTTTTCTTATCACATGTTCTTGCATTTTTACATGATTCTTGATTAGATGTTTACATATTATGCATTCTGTTTTTTTTACTAATACATTTTCATACTGCATGAGCTTGTATTAGGTGATTGGAGTAAAGCCTTATCTTGTTAGATATAAGTCTTGTTATAGCTTAAGTTTACTCTGTATTGTTTTGTTTGAAAAAGTGTTGTAATTGTGGGAATCTCAAGGTGTCATATCACCAAGAGATTGAGTGTGTCTTCACTGAGTGTTAGACTTAGGGATAAGTAAAGAACAAGGTTCTTGGCTGGGGCTACGCCGAAAGAAAGGTTTTCTTTGTCGGTAGGAAGGGAGTCAAACCATAGAATATGTTTCTTTTTTATCTTGTAAGTGTCTAATTGTTGTAATTGGATAGTGTGTATGTAATTAACATTCATTCAATTATAGTGAAGAAAAATCTCCCAAATCAGCCGGGAGGCCTGGATGTAGTTTGCGGTGGACAAGCAAACGAACCAGGATAAAATTCTTGTTGCAGGACTTTTTCTATCCCTTTCTCTCTTTATTGCATTTGATCGATTAATTTGTTTAGTAGATTTAATTGATAATCTGTTTCTGTACTGTATTGTTTTTACTCTGATAAATTCTGTAAGCTTGGCATAATCGTTTCGTTATCAATTAACTGTCGCGCAAGGAATTGTACTTGCATCTGCTTACTGTCACGGTTTAATCGATTAAGTGTGGTGTGTTAATCGATTACTTCAGTCTGTTAATTGATTAAGTGGACTGTGTTGAAAGTGTTAATCGATTACCCTGTTTCGTTAATCGATTAATCAAGGTGTTTTTCAGCATTAAGTGTTGTTTTTTGAAAAGCGGACATTCTAACCGCTTCACCTATTCAACCCCCCCCCCCCCCCCCCCTTCTAGGTGTATTGTAACCACTGATACCTAACAAGTGGTATCAGAGCTAGTGCGAAGTGCTAGCTCAACCGCGTATTCGTGATCCTTAGGGAAAAAGAAATGGGTTCGTCAAACCCATTTGGTGGTGATGGTTCATCCATTAATCGACCACCTATATTCAGTGGTGAAGGGTATGCCTACTG